CTTGCTGTCCGACTATATCCATCAATCCAGGTTAGGGCCGGTTCGATAGGTATTGCGATTTTTAAGTATTGCGATTCTACAAGTATTGTGAGTATTTTTTAACGCTAGACCATGGGGAAAAAGTGGAATCATACACTTCTAGAGACTGTGTATCACAAGGCTCATTTCCAAAATCAATGCACATCACATGTCAGTCAGCATTTTGGACTTTTATTTCAGCAGCATCATTGCTATACTGGGAGGGTTTAAGGGAAGGTTACATTCTACTGTTGCAGTAGCATACATCTTGTTTTCATTTAATGTGAAAACAATAAAAATATAGTAAAAAAAGAAAGAAAAGAAATCGATTGAGGTATTAAAAAAAACGATTAAAAAAAATCGCACACAAAAAAAAACGCTCAAGAGTTCATTAAACATATCTGCATCCATCCATCATCCACCCATTCATATCTGCACCCATCCATTCATAAACGCATCCATCCTTCCTTCCTGTCCACAATGAGCTCCTCTGAATAAACATCCTAATGGCCTGGTCAGACTATACGATTTTTTTGTCGCTCACGATTGTCGTTTACGATCTACCATGTCACACTATACGATTTTAGAACCATGAAAACCTCTCCGCGTCTTGGTCGGGAGAGTGGCCACATACACCGACAGCATCGGTCGCGTCGCATGTTGTCATAGCAGCAGCTGTCAACAAAAGGCTGGGCGATCACAATAATACAATGATGGATACAGACGCGCTTGGTGTCGTACTTGCTGTCTTCTGTGCGGAGAAGAAAAAGAAAAAGAAGAAATGAGTGCGGACTCGCTCACGGGTATCACGAAGAGGAGAATACGGGATGTCTGTCCAATGGGCTTTATGCCGAGCGTCACGTGACCAAACCGGAAAACTGGTCTCCTGACTTCCGCTTGTCGTTAAAGCCGGTAGCAGCGGTAGGAACTGATGGCGACAGCTATTGACTTGGCCTAGTTAGCCCTTTTTACTGTTGGCGTTTTATTTGGTTTTAACATCTGAATGTTAGTGAGAAGAAAAGATGGATGGAAAAAAAAAAAAAAAAAAAAACAGCGGTAAAAGCTATCGAGTGAGTCCGGGAGAGGGCTGCTCTCCTCGGACACGTTACTCTGAAGCCCCGGTGACGGTCTGGAAGTGCGGATTAATAAATACTTTTTTTTTTTTAAACAGCGGTTAAAAGCTAGCTTGTGTCCGGGAGAGGGCTGCTCTCCTCGGACACATTACTCTGAAGTCCCGGTGACGGTCTGGAAGTGCGGATTAAAAAAATAAATAAATAAAAATAAACAGCGGTTAAAGCTAGCGTCTGTGTCCGGGAGAGGGCTACTGTCTTCGGACACACATTACTCTGAAGCCCCGGTGACGGCCTGGAAGTGTGGATTAATAAATACAATTTAAAAAAAACAGCGATAAAAGCTAGCGTGAGTCCGGGAGAGGGCTGCTCTCCTCGGACATATTACTCAGAAGCCCCGGTGACGGTCTGGAAGTGCGGATTAATAAATAACATAATGCGAGCGCGGTACAGTGGACCTGAACCGGATGTGATGAGACTTGTTTAGCAGAATGCGGAAGTATGTTGCGCATAACCCCTATTGAACTTTAATGCACGAGCGCCAGCTGTGGAATTCCCGGGAGTTTTTCATACAGTAGGCTATGATGTCAACAATGGAAACGTCATACGACTCCCGTCAAATTTCTGACAAGCCAAACTTTTTGTCGGGCTGTTTTAGAACGTCGTGAATGACAAATCGCAAGTCGTGAAGCATGTCACATTATACGATTCACTCCGCGTTCGATGTCGTGCCCGACCATTTGAAATCGGATACGACGCTGTAAACTTGTCGGTCACGACAAATTCGGGGCAAAATCGGGCTGAAATCGTATAGTCTGACCAGGCCATAAGGGACTGCAGGAGAGGAGGGGAGCTGCATGTAGTGGCAGCAGGCACAATGCCAGTGGGGAGGGCTGTGCTTGGCTGTACGTGAGAGTACAGTGGGACGGAGGCCAAGGGGAGAGTTGAGAGGGGGTTCAGGGCTGAGCGCACACGTTCGCGCGTCCACACATAGAGCTTGTGTACACACACGCACATGCACACAGCACAACGAACGGCAAGGTAAAAACAAATTCCCATCCACTTTCATCCAATTCCTTGCTACACTACTTATTAGCTCTCTCTCTTGCCTGTAACCGTTATCTACACTAGCAGAGGCGCGAGTGCGTCAAGATGATGGACAGCCCTGTATCCCTCATCCATGTATCCCCCATCCTTCTCTCCCATCCCTCATCCCCCCTCCCCTCTCCCCCATCCATCCATGCATCACTCTTTTACTATCCCTCTCTACAAGAACCTCTCTTTAAACTGCCTTATCGCGTAACGTGTATTGAGTACTTAGCGTTATTATTATTTAATAATAAACAACTTCAATAATGAAGTCACTTTTTCTTTATTTAAAGGAGCGATATCTAAGCTATATAATCTGCCACCCCCTACTCCCCAGATTCGAAGCTCACGCGGGTTGCCAGTAGGGCTGCAGCTATCGATTCTTTTTGTAATCGATTCATTTAGCACTTTATCGATCGATTAATCGAGGAATCGGATTTAAAAAAATTGCGTTTTTAAACAACCAAAACAAATAATGCATAACGAAAATGATGTGGCTGTAAAATGATCAAGCATTTCTAAAAAAAAATGCTCTTTTGGGAAGTGCTGTGGGAGAAAAAGAGGGAGAGAGGGAGAAAAAGAGGAAAAGCAATTTAATTTATTAATATGCACAACAAGGACCTACGACCGACGGGGGGGGGGGGGGGGGGGGCGCAATAGTAACACACCGCGGACCTACGGACGATGGGGGGGGGGGGGGGGGGGGGGGGGACGCGCTGGTGTGCTTCCTGAACAACGGTCCGTGTAGAACAATCAGATCCCTTCGAGGCTTCGAGGCAGATGTTTTGCCTCGAGGAATTTTCATAATCGAGTTAATCGAGTAACTCGATGAATCGTTGCAGCCCTGGTTGCCAGGTTGAGGACACTTCGCGAACACGAGCACAAGACAAGCCGAGCGCAATTTGTGCACCAATTTGTTTCATATCTGGCAACCCGGGTGTGTCGAAATGGGCAGTGGGCGGAGTCAACTCTGAGACGATTGGGCAGTGGGCGGAGTCAACTGACCCGGGATGGAAATCTTCTACGGAGAACATACTGGCTGTAGCATTGTTTTCAGATTTCGACTTAGCAGGTTTCCTTAAACTCTGTGACATGTCATGTGGTCATTTTAGTACCACCAATTTGTGACACATAGCTCCTTTAATGCTAAACAAAATAATTGCAACAAATGCAAACCGCGCTTTCCATTTCAACCTTGCCTCATGTCACGTCGCTCACTCGCTCACAGCCCGTAGAGCAGCACCGAACAACGGTAAGTATGTATCATAGTAATCTGTCGGAGATCGTAGATGCTGGTGACCCAATTTGACGAGCGACAAACGCGCTACAGATGACATGCATTAAACCGTGCGCAAAACGCATCGCAGCCGGGCAGCCATCTTTGATCTTGGCTTCCCCCCCCTGCGGCTCCTTACTCCCCGCTACATCAAAGCGTAGCGGTTCCTGTTCATATGGTTGACTGAGGCTGCTACCACTCAGCACTCGCTGCTAGGACTTCATTTAAGGAGAGAACCCATATCAAAAAAGTAAAATTAAAGCTGGTAGGAGTGTATGTGTGTGTGGTGTGTGCGTGTGTGTGTTTAATATCCATTTACATTTATTTTGTTTTGTATTTGCATGTTTTGTACATTTTACACTCGCCAATATACTGGAAAAATGTCCTTGAATGTGCAAACATACATAATATAAAATGATTTTGGATTGTGTGTGTGTGTGTGTGTGTGTAAAAGAAAATGTGTACATACAGTATGTGTGTGTGTGTGTGTGTGTAGTGATATTATATCAGTGGCACACCTGCTCCCCAAAGACATGATTCCCCCTCTCTCTCTCTCCAATTTAAAACACATTCTCTTGCACACTGAAAGAATCGTAATAAAAAAGGACGAAGGGAAAAATGGCTGCTTTGCTTCACAACAAAGTCCTCAACAGTGTTGAGCATGAAGTGTAGCCACGCCTCGCACATTGAAATTCAAACTACGAGGAACAAACAGATGAGCCCATCGCAGCAACACCTGTTTGAATGAAGGCAAATGCACAGACACACCACATCCATCACACACATACACGCGCACACACACACGCACGCACATGCACACACGTGTGCGCACACACACACACACATAGTCTACACTCAATCTCATGATTTCTTCCTGATAATCAAGGGAGTTTTTTCTTGCCCTCTGGGGAGGCTAAGGTTAGGGGGTGTCGTAAATATGTGGCCTGCAAGACTGTAACTGTGATTTAGGGCTAATCAAATCAAATTGACTTGACTACACATATACACACCCACACCCACATACGCATGCACGCACGCACACACAACACACACAGCGGGACAAGGTCCTGTCTGGACTAGCCCAGATAGTCGCCGACATTGATGCCCCTAACTGGCTGCCTGCCAAGCCAATAATAGTGCACGAAAGGAAACAATGTCTGTAGGGCCTTCGCTCAAATACCAGCGAGGTGTTAAGTGCAACGATCCGACGTCCTGAAAATAAACACAAAATCGAAACACCTGTCCTCGTTATCGCCGCCACAGTGATGAATGCGGTGGTGGCGTACCTGTTCAGCATTGGAAACCAAGGCAGCTTGGCTCCAACACAGAGTCCACACAAGGGGGAAAAGAGAGCCAGAGCCAAACCTTGGTGCTAAGCTGATGCCGTACGACTCCAAGTGCTCCACAAGAACATAACAGCTGGTTCCAGCTACCAGCCCCACCCACCTTTGGATCCTTCAATCAAACAGTTAAGGCAATTTATGACCCCGAAGGAATGCGTGTGAATGATATTTGCATTCCCGAACAGGACAGCAGTTCGTCCTGCTTAGCTCAACTGGTCAGAGCATGGCATTAACGCCGCCAGGGTTTGGGGTTCGATTCCCACCGCGATTCGATTCCCACCCACGCTTAAAAAATGGATGCGCTCGCGGTATTGTAAGACGCTTTGGATAAAAGCATCCACGAAATGGATTATACATTATGCGTATTCTGTATTTTGATGAAGTGTTTGTTTCGTTTGAACCAATAATTGGTTCAAATGTGTAATTGTGCGTTGTGTTTGTATCGTTTACAAATGCCTCCTCTCCTCTCCTCTCTTCTTCATATGTTTCCAAGAGAAGCATAAATTGCTGCTGCATATATTTTTTGTATTCAGCATAAGCCTCAATATGCCGAACTTCCTTCGGGCATCCATGCCCCATCATGCATGAACGCATGACGTCGGAAGTCGGAAAACTCGGCTTGGCTAACCCTAACCCTAACCCTAACTTGGCACACGGCGTCACCCTCTCACTTTCCTCCACACATACTCGATTATTACAGGCCATTCTGCAAGTTAAAATTCTGCTAGCTAGTTTGATTAGGTTTTATACAGTCATTTCATTTTGAGTGACCTGGTAATTAGGCTTCAAATACTGTAAATCCCAATGAGCAGTTATTTTGTGGTGTTGATAAATGAAGCCTATTTCCGCCACTCATTATCAACATTGGGACCAAACAAGTCCGAGTGTGCTTGTTGCACAAAAAAAAATATTTAAATGATGCCATCTGAAATATGTTCTATGAACCACTATCCAACACGCACACGCACACCCACACACACACACACACATCGACAACGCTGACTCTCTGCCAGCTGTCTGCCTTCTGCGTCAGGCAAGTGTAATTGATCCAGCTCTTTCGTGTGTGTAGGTGTGTGTGTGTGTGTGTGTGTGTGTATGTGTACAGCCTGTGCATGTGTGTGTATGCATTTGTAAGCATATATCTGACGCTTTGGAAATAGGGATCAGAGGGGAGGTGGGGGTGGGTCGCACAGGAAGTCCACGTGGTAAGCAGTTCTGATCCAAGACTAGGTCCTGCCGGGCAACAGACCAAACAGAAGCTACACAGAGGTCAGCTGACTGACAAGAGGTCAGTTGACTGACAGGAGGTCCGTGGACTTAGTTAACAATTGCGGCCGAGTGGGAATTCCCCCCAGACTGACTCGAGTGATCGACAGTAGACAGAAATAGTTGCGTGTGTTCAGTGGGCTCTGCTAGCCCCACACACTCAGTAGGGGTGGGGGAAAACAAATTGATTCACTTGAGTATCACGATTATTTTAACAATGTTTTAATGCTTGAATCGATGTGTTTATGTATTTATTTATAACAGTATGTTTATTGTTTTCAGTGCATACAAGAAGTACACTACAACAGTAGCATGTAACCTTCCCTTAAACCCTCCCAGTATAGCATACAAGAAGTACACTACACTCAACAGTAGCATGTAACCTTCCCTTAAACCCTCCCAGTATAGCATACAAGAAGTACACTACATCAACAGTAGCGTGTAACCTTCCCTTAAACCCTCCCAGGATAGCAATGATGCTGCTGAAATAAAAGTCAGAAAGACTGACTGACATGTGATGTGCATTGTTTTTGGAAATATGCCTTTTTTCCCGTGGCATAGTGTTAAACACGTTGACAAAAATCGAAATAAATCGTAATATTGAATCGCAATGCTTAAAAATCGCAATACATATCGATTTGGCGCCCAAGTATCGTAATATTATCAAATCGAAAGGTCAGCATATCGCCCCGGCCCGAACACTCAGCTCCTTCTCCCCCTCAACACACACCTGGTCAGCCATGTGTTCGGGCTACCCACAGACAGTGGTGGAGGTTGAGGTTTGCGCATCATGTGACTCATGTCCGCGGATCAGACCAAACCACGCACTCGCCTTGAGGTGGAAGCTCCCAAACCACCGTCTCAACAGAACCCGTGTACCTCATCTGGCCACTCCTTCTCCCTCGTCTCCATGGCAGCTGACCGCATAACTCATCCCATAATTATCAACAGGGCAACAGTGGCTAAGTCTTGAAAACATGTGACTCAACAGCTGAGCACAGCACGGTGTAGCAGAAGGTTGGTCAGGGTTATGTTCTGCAAAGAAGAGGACACACAGACACATACACACGCACCCATGGACACAAACTCTCTCAAACACACACACACACACCCATGGACACAAACTCTCACACACACACACACACACACACACACACACACACACACACACACACACACACACACACAACAGCTTCAGGGTGCATGCGAGAGGCTGAATATGATTAATGGCAGTAATGCAGATGGAGAGACGTTTTCACGTGCCTGTTGGAAGATGACGTTTCGTTGAGAAATAGAAAATATAATATGTTTATAGAGATTTCAGTTCTGTTTCTCGAATGGATTGCAAGCAAGCAAGCAAGCAAGCTAGCAAGGAAGAAAGAAAGAAAGAAAGAAAGAAAGAAAGAAAGAAAGAAAGAAAGAAAGAATCAATCCTGGCCTGTCAAGACAATACGCCCGCACTACCTTAGTTGTGGGCTGGACAGGCAGACAGATGGGCTTAAGCTCCGCCCCCTTTAAAAGACACACACACACACACACACACACACACACACAGTTAGCAAGACTGATACCTGTCATATTATTATGCATCACATAACGTCCCACAGGTGCATGTGCACACACACACACACACACACACACACACACACATGCGCGTGCACACAAACAAACAAACTAACAAACACTTAGGATGTGCGTATGTGAATGTTTGTGTGTGTGTCTGTGTGTGCAGACCCTGGGACCATCTGAAAGAGCCCATCTGTGTGCTCTTGGCAGACAAAGAGAGAGTTCCTACCGAGTGACACGCAGACAGAGTAATGTTCTCCTTGCTCACACTGGGTCACACAAGACCCCCGATCAGAAACACACTGGACATGCTTCTCTGCTCTGTCTGTACTCTCCTTCCTCATCCACTTCTCATCTTGTGCATCTCTTACTTGTGTCTATTTCTCTCCATCGCTGCTACTTTCAGAGCCACTCATTCACATTCTGAGCCTTAACACACTGCGGTGCACACTTATGCGCTATAAAGTACACAAACACACGCGTGTGCATGCACACACACACACAAAACGACAACAAACACAGCCTCTGGGGGGGAGGCGCTCAAGGCCTTTTGAAACTGGGATGATTTTGTTAGCCAGCATCCCCAAGGTTTTGGGAGGGGGGGGGGGGGGTGTATTTGTGTTTGTGTTTGTGTGTGTGTGTGTGTGTGTGTGTGTGTGTGTGTGTGTGTGTGCGTGGGTGGGTGTACATGCCAACAAACCTGTTTCCATGTTCGGTTGGGCTTTGCCAACCAGCAAGCAGGCACCATGTCAAAGCAAACAACGACACAACCACCAACAACAGAAAACCCACCACAAACGAAACCCCCTGGTCTGGTTAGGCAGATAGTGGGGGCAGTGGGGGTCTATTGAAGACGAACGGCCATTGGAGAAGATCAATAACAAGTCTTTTAGAAAGGTAGCACCCACAACGTAGGCTAGAAGCCATCTCACACAAAAAAAGATAAACACATTCCATGTTGCATACAAATGCAGTAATGCAGTGATGTTGCTAATATTGCGACTCAGTAGGGTTGTACACTGCATGCAACAAGGCCTTGTACTGATGTGAAAATACAGACACACACACACACAGACAATCAATACACACACACACACAGATAAAATACATAATTTCTGGCAACGGTAAATTACTTCATACCTCTATTTGATAGACCTTGGTTCTTCTTGATGCTTTCCCTCCAGATAAATCCAGAGTGGGAACTGCTCTCTGCTAAAAAAAATATCAAACACTCCTTTAACTCAGATAGAGAGAGAGAGAGAGAGAGAGAGAGAGAGAGAGAGCAGCTCCCTCAGTCACAGCTTTTTCAACAACTACACCCATAGGCTAAGATCTTCCACCAACAAGCCATCAGAGCGCCATGAGAGAGAGAGAGAGAGAGAGAGAGAGAGAGAGAGAGAGAGAGAGAGAGAGCATATGGGTAAATAGTGGGGGTAGCAGGGAAGTGTGTGAGCGAGTACGAGAGTGAGTCAGTGACAGAGAGAGCGAGAGAGAGAGAGGGGACAGAGAGAGAGGGGACAGAGAGAGAGAGAGAGAGAAAGAGAGAGAGGGGACAGAGAGAGAGAGAGAGCGAGAGGGGGACAGCGCAAGGGATTTCAGGGTGAGGAGGGAGGGGTGAGGGAGTGCAATACTACGGGAGAGAGAGACCAAAACGAAAAGAGAGACAGAAAACAGAGAGACAGGGTCTAAATTACCACAGCTGCTTCACCCAAGCACGTAGGCAGCTGATGCGAATGAGGAACACAGGGCTTGTGTAGGTGCACCATGCAATAGAGTGTGTCACTACCAAGCTGAATCCTAAACCTCTTTGACATTTACCACGCAGACAAACCACACAGACTCTTTTAGACAACCCTGCCCCATGCCAGGCACGGCCGAAATGAGAGGGGACCGGGAATGAGAGAAAGAAAAAGCGGGTGCTGCCCCAGACACTTGTCCTGCTGGGACCTCTTTCCTCCTCCTTCCATACAATCACCGTCATGCTAATGCAGAGAGGGGGAACACACGAGAGAGACAGACAGAGAGAGAGAGAGAAAGAGAGAGCTGGAAGAAGGGGAGGAAGGTCTACACCACTAACATGCAGTTCCTCTAACGGCCTGTGGCTCACAGTGACTGGCTGCAGAAAGACCTGCCACCAGTCAGGTTGGTCTCATAAAACATTTGTATGATATCTTACGAAAGGTGATGCACACATTTTTGTAATATTTTTGCGTAATCCTACAAATGTCTAGCAACCCTAACTCTAACCCAACCCCAACCCCGAACCCTAATATGAAACCCGAACCCTAATTCGAAACCCTAACCCTAATATGAAACCCTAAACCTAACCCTAAGTGGAAACCGTAACCTAAACCCTAATATGAAACCCTAGCCCTAATTGGAAACCATAACCCTAATATGAAACCCTAACCCTAACCTTCAACCAAACCCAATCAAGTGTGTGTAGTTTAC